GGTCCCGGCGAAGCAGCAGCCCCACATCACCCGTTTTGGTGCCTCTGTGGCCAAACCCCACCCTTTTGTAGGCATTTTAACCCCTTTTATTGCCCCTACCTGGGATTAAATTCCATGTGAGCACCAGGAAAACCCCCTTTTCCTCTTAAAAACCTCTTTTTGGGCTGTTTCTAGGTCCCTGGCTCCCTGTTTCCCGCCCCTTTGCCCCCATTTCCCTGCTAATCACCCCCAGCTTGGTGCACTCCCTCCCGTTGATTTTTGCAGCTGGGGAAACTGAGGCACAGCACCACCAATCACCGAAACGGCCCCCGAGCATCGCCCATGGCGCAGGCAGGATGGGCCCGACCCCGGTGAGGAAAAGGGAAGTTTATTCAGCTTCCCAGCGGGAAAAGCAGCCGGAGCAGAGCTTCCCCTTTCCAAATGGGATGGTTTTTTTGGGGGGGAACCCCGAGGCTTCAGCAGTGAAGCAGGATTCATCCCCGAGATGAATGGACAGCCTGGGAAATACCTGTGTGACGAGTTGCCCGCTCTCATGCCCCGGCGCAGGGTGGCTCCGCTCCCCCCAGATGTGGCTCACGGGTGTTGGTTCATCTTTTTGGGGGGCAACCGGGCCCTGGGAAAAGCTTCAGACGTGCATGGGGGTGACCTCAGCCTCTGACTCAGCAGGGGAAGGGATTGAAAAGGTAAAAACCCCGAGCGCCTTCGCTCCCGTTCCCTCCCTCCCCGCAGGCAAAACCCCAAAAATGGGCCCCGGCGCCGCCAGCCTTCGCCCCAGCGCCCGAATCCTGAGCCGCCGCTTTCCTCCGCCCCAGCCGAGCTGCAGAGAACAGGGGGGAAAAGTAATAATTATAAAAAAAAGAGCAAAAGGAGGAAAAATCCCAGCCCTCTGCGGGGCTAATGGGAACCATGTGCTCTCGCATTCCTCTTTGTGCTGACGGGATCCCGGCAGCCCCATCGCTGCACCCTCTGTCCCCCCGCAGCCGGGGGCCGTCGGGGTGGTGGAGGGGTGCGTTAATGGGGTTCGGCCCCCCCTTTCTTAGGGGGTGTCCCCCCCTTTGTAGTTCATGGCCACATTCCCACCCCATGGCTGAGGCCACATTGGGGAAGGGCCCCCCTGGTTTCCTGCAAGCGTTGCTCCAAAATCTCCTGGGGTGGGAGTCCAGGTTGGAGCAATGGGAACGGGGCCACTTATGGGGCACCCCCTCACACACACTCCCCAAAATTGGGGTGCGACACTGCCCTCCTACAACTGTCCTCCAGCTCTGTCCCCTGCCCTGGAGACCTCTTGGGGAGCACTTTGAGGACGCCCAAAGGAGAAGGGACAGGGTGGGGGGACACAGCCCCTGCTGTCCCCTTGTCCCTTCCCCAAAGGGCCCTGCTGTCCCCTTGTCCCTTACCTGGGGAGTGGCCTTGCAGCCCCCCCAAAATCCCCTGTCCCCTACCTGGGGGTGCCCCATCCCCTGTGTGGTAGTGGCCTCACCATGTCCCCTCTACCTGGGACCCCTCGTCCCCCGGGGATGTCCCTTTGTCCTGTCCCAGGATGGCTCTGCCGCCCTTATCCCATTGCCTGGGGGGGTCCCATGTCCCATTTTGGGGTGTCCTTTGTCCCCTACCTGTGGGTGTCCCCCATCCCATACTTGGGGTATCCTCTGCCTGGGGGTGTCCCCTACCTGGGGGGTGTTGTCTGCCCGGGGATAGCCCTGTGGCCCCTCCTGCCCCTGGCAAGGGGTGGCCCCGTCCCCGTCCCTTA